TACATATAACTTGGCAATTGTTACCTGTTTTCAGCCTCAGGTCAGTCATTCATAAAATACAGTTCTGTAAGCTAACAATGAGGTTTTGGATAATCCTCCCATACTTTAGAGAACACAACTGCAAAAACGGACTTGCCCAGAACTTCAGACTTCCTCCTCCTGGAGAAAGAGAACTGAAAAATTTCTAAAACTGAGCTACTGAAACAGAAAATTGAAAGACTGTATCTATAAAAAGGATATTTCTTGTCTTCCTTGCCTGATTTCTTACAGCAGGAGATCGAGAGCTCTTGCATTCTATGGAAAGCATCTTTAAAGATCTGCCAGCTCTGTTCTGCTCCCTTGTCCCTGAAGGCAGTTTCCTGGAGTATACCATTGAGTAATTCCTTGAACAGCTGAAAGTTTGCATTCCTAAAATTCAGGGTCCTGACTTTAATCTTCACCTGACCCACATCTCTCAGGTCTGTGAACTCCATCAGTGTGTGATCAGCCAATTCAGTCTTGGCTAGTTGTGGTGAACCCATCAGGGATGCTCTCAAAGAGTCAGACAACACAAATAAGTACATGGAAATAATCTGGTCTGTTGGTTTCCTTTTTTTTTTTGCTTGTGATGGTTCAAAACTTTTTAGAGCTTTGCTTCATCGGGAAATGCTGAAACAGCACCACTTGAACTATCTTTATGGGAAACTGTTGCTTGCCTTTGGGAAATCTAGATGCTATGAGATACAAGCTGGAAAATGGGAATTGATTCACATATGTTTATGAGGATAAAAATCCTGCCAATTTAAGAGCGTAAACTGAAGAAGAATTTTACTATCTCTTTAAGCTGACATTAAGCATTTACATTTCAGGATAGCCATAAATGTACATGTACAATGTAATGGTTTCCTGAGCTTTTCTTAACAGGAACATGAAAAATATTAGTTCACTCTTGTATTTTACTCTATGGACATCTCTGTTGTACTGCAGGTCCTGGTACAATGCCTCCAGACGATGTATCAGTGGTTCTGATGCTTATACAGGTACCAAGAATCTTCACTTAGCCAGTGCTTGGGACAGTGTATGCATTTTGGATGACAACGGACAGCCACAGAACAACTGACATGGCTTTCTTACTGTGGCGTATCTGTTGTCATTGATTTTTACCTCACAGTGTCTCAAGCAAATGCTTTTTTCTTTAGATCTGTAAGTATTGTCAGCCTCATTTAGCATTCTTCACCTTATGGAAATAATATTTATTTATCTTAACAGTGGTCTTTACAGACTAAATAAAGAAAACAACTTCAGTGTTTCAGTTATTTAAATTTGTATTGTTTTGTTTCTATGACCATGCAAACCTCACCCCAATTCCTTGTTCAAGCCAATTCAGAGTGAGTGCAGATCAAGATCTGTTTGTTTCATCTTCCACTAGGTTTGCTGACAGAAGTGGCAATCTGAAACTCAGAAATCCTGAGCTGCTGCCTAACTTACGAGATGTTATGACAAGACTATGTATTAGTCATTCCACCCTCACATTTTCAAGGTCATAGCTAAAAATTGCCAAAAAATTTCCTAACTCAATTGTGTTGTTTCTGGACTATCTTCTTCCTCCTTTACATTCGGTGACAACTATAGAACCATTTCTGTTTTCCAAGTATAACTCTTTGCAGTCTCAATGTAGATAACTAGAACTAGCAGAAGTGTCCGTGGAAGACACCTTTCTGGTTTAGGAAGGCCCAGAGACACAAGTTATGAATACTAAGAGAATATTCTGGGTCAGCAACTGTGTATGCTTCTCTTGCCCTTATTGGACATCTGCTAATATTAAATCAGTGACAGTATACAGGAATACACAAAGGCTGGCCATATTTACATAAGCAAGAGGACAAGCAAATTTAGAATAGTTTGCCTCATCCTAATTTATATCTCTAGCCCATTTTTTTGCTTACCAATGCACTTATTGGCATCAGGTAGCTGATGATTTTATTAACTTGACTGGACAGCACCTGTGCTCACTTAATGGCAGAATTTAAATCATGTTTTATTTCAGGAATTATGTAAAGTAATACCCGTTTGCTGGCTTCAAACTGCATAATTTAAAATTCATCAGTGTTCCTACCCCAGCTCGTACTTTGGCCATTGTAAAGTCATGGTTATGCTCTTCTAATTGCATTGCTTCTATCAGAGAATGATAAATCCATTTATTTTGCATAATTTAGTGTTCAAACTTTACCAAGCTCTTCATATCAAGTGCCACAATTTGTAGACATTAAGTATTAAAACTTTTGAAGTGACAAATGTTCCCATTTTTCACAGTTTTTTCAACTCTGATGCTAGTTGATCTACTAATACAATTATGACCCTTCAGTAGAGAGGGTCACTGCAGAGATTCTGCATGAATCTCTTCTGGATCATCTCAGTTGTGGCTCAGTCTAGATAACTAGGGAATAATGTTTTCCACAAAGAATATGCTATAAAACCCCTTAGTGCTCATTTTTAATGAAGAATTGCCTTCTTTGAAGCCAGCAGTTTTACCAGTGAGTTACTTATTTCAGAAATAATAGTAATGAAAGTATTAATTCTTATGATTTATCAGTCCAGTTTTCAGCTAGCAATCTTCTCATACAGATTGGGCAACTCTATTCTTGTAAATACGGGTGCATGTAATTTTGAAGTACTAATTCTTGCACGATAGATTTGTTACTCTGCAAATTTAATGCTCACTTCATTAAGAAAGTCTATTGCATTAATTGGCATGTCTGACACGTTAACAGTGCGCAGCAGGGGTGCATGATTTAAGTTATGCTCCCACAAGTACAGGCTGAAGAGAATTTAAAAGGAATTCCAGAGTAAATGAGTTTACAAGTCTGATTTAAAACAGGATATTGTAAGGCCTCTATTCTGCTGTATCTGTATGTGCAGTACAGTGTGGTTGGGGAAAGAAAAGCTGTTACTTGTCTTTGTGTTCTTCCAGGACTTTGGCCTTACTCAAGAGCCAACTGCAGTTTTCAGATGGCAACTGATCTTTACATCATGCACTTAAGAAAGACTATAAAGCAGTTTGGAATTAGCACTCTCATAGACTACACTGGTAGAGATGCACCTCCTTGACTTTGAGATGTTCGCTCCGTTTCCATCACTGTAGCTGAGGAATGTATAGGATCCTGTCTGCCCTTCACAATCCCTTTCCTCAAGAAGTTCTTACAGGATCCTGTTGTCTATTAGAACTCTTGGGTAGAGGCAGCAAAACAACACAAAAGTTACAGGGGAATTAGAGTAGCTGTAAATTCTCCCACCAAACAAACCAAGCCTCAATTAACAGCATTTTTAAACTGAGGAAATACTTGCAGGACAATAAAAATTCCAGGTCCAAACCTTCGTGAGGATTTTCCCTTTCCTGCATTGCAGCTGTCCTGCTTGACCTACTTTCATTTCAGTCTGTCAGACTCAAGCTATTTGATGTTGTTCCCTGACTGAGCTGTCCTGAAATTCATTTTGATCATGTTACCTCTTGGATTAAGATTTTCTTTTTAATTTTTTTTTTTTTTTTTTGTGCAGATCAGGGATGTAATCTAAAAATTTTACTTATGATGTTCAAGGTACTTCAGGCCTCTCATCCATGTTATTTACAGGAACTAAACAATGCCTCTGTTCCATCTTGGAGCTTGTGCTCAGCCTTAGATTACTGTCTGCCTTGACTCCCTGTCATTCTCTGTTAAAATTCAAGCATTTTTCATTTTGGCTCCTGTACATTCCGATTCTTGCCAGGAACCTTAACCAGCAACCACTGTACATCAAAAATGTTAAATTAGACATGGGCTTAATTGTTTTGCTGAACTGGGACATAAGTTTCTATGCAACCTCATGATATATCTATATGAGTAGGTACTGCAGGCCAGCAAAAGTGCTTCTTTAGAGTGAAACAAAAGTTCCCAGGATTTAATATTGCACTGCATGTTTCAGAGATTGACTTTGGACTAGGTTTAGTCTGGCCACATGGATTTAATGCTCATTAGCAGTTGGAGTGAATTAGGTACATTTCTGAACCACTTTTTCAGTCCAGTTTCACTGAAGTGAAATCTGAGTTCACAGCAAGGCCATCCTCCAATGTGAACCAAAACATGCTAAATGGGAGCAATCAGGAGACTCTTCTCAGCCAAACTCACACACTAATGCAGACGCAGTTTTAGGCTCCCCAGTGTAGGAAAGAATCATTACTATTTCCTTTTCCTAAGTTTTTCCAAATTTATTCCATGGAGGTTAAGATTTCAAAAGTGATTATTATACTGTTAACTTAATACAGTGATTGGGCTCTTAAGCTCACAGGCTGGTTTTAACATATATAATGTAGTGCCAGACAGACACTGTCTCCAGTTACAGATTGGTAAAACACTTAGCACAAAATGAAATTATAAGGTCTTCTCTAAGATCTTCCTTCAATAGCTACTATTTAGATTTTAAAAACGCTGCAGAATTGGCTATTTGGATAGACTATTAGAGAGAAGAACTTCAGCTTGTGTAACACGCTATAGAAAATGGAGTAATGCAGCCATGGCAGTTAGTAGTGGCAATGTTAGTCTTTTCAGAACTACCCAGTAATCAGTGGTCCACCATATATTTTAAGCAGCTTGCCAATGACTTTCCATTTCACAGAATCACAGACTGGTTTGGGTTGGAAGGGACCTGAAAGATCATCTAGTTTCACGCCCCTGCCCATCAGGAGAAAATACAAAGAATCTATTAATGTTACATCTTCATCAATATCAACCAATGAACTGCCTGAAGGAGAAACATGGACACTCATGTTTGGAAAGGAGGAGACGAGAAGTAGCGTATTTATTCTATTACCAGAACAAGTGATGAGTGAAATAAAGCAAGAACACAAGAAAAGATATTGAAGTTCACACTTGCGTTTTTTCTCCCTTACTTAATAGCCATATATACCACCAAGGCATCAAATCTTCTAATCAGTATGTTTTGGTTTTGTCAGGAAAAACAGTGAATATGATGGCTGAATGATTTACCTGACAATAGCACAATCACTTTTTGATGCCTCCTAGGCTCCTGTCTGCTAAAGCAATATAGGTTTTCTTAAATAAAATGCACATTTCTATATATTCATTATATGTATATCATGACTCAGACAGGAAAACCTCAATATTTAATTACGTAACATATCCGGATGATACAGCCCTTTGAGCAACAAAACCTTTCATGTGATCTTCAGGTTCCTAATGAGAACTGTGATATAATTTGGTCTTTTGATCTGTTGGCATGAAATAATGGGTAGCTCCCTAATTCCTTCCCCTGCAGGGCACTTTCTCTGCTTTCCTCAGGCCTGTCTGAAATAGGCAGGATAAGGCTAAGTCCACTTAAGAATGAGATTACATTTATAGATTAGCCAAAGGAAATTGTGAATGTGGTCCTTCCTTTTTTATATTAGAGATTTTGCTCATCTTATATCCAGCACAATGAGTTGGTACTTACACACTGTGACACTTGTACAGGTTCACTACCAGATTAGAATATGCCTCTCCAACCATTCTTCTCTATCCTTTTCACCCTTGCACTGCTTCAAAGTTAAGCCTCATTTATTAAAGCCAGTGTGTTTCAACAGTGACAATGATGGCGAACAACAAGATTTTGCTGTTTTTCTGTAGGAATTTCTGAGAGGCCCGATGCTCTGAAGCACTTACAGCAATATACACCCTCAACTATCACAGCTCTAAAAACACCTCATGGTGGAAAACCAAAACTGAAACAAACCGGGTGACTTAATTACATTTTTGTTTAGATCTTGGTGTAATTTCTTAGGCCTAATCACAAAATCATCACTCAGGTAAAAGTTATTGGAATGGACATAAAGACTGACTCTACAAAAATCAATCAGAAAACAATTCACAAGCCATGCAAGGAGTGAGTTCTTTAAAGCATGTGATTTTAATTGGACTCTTAGATGATATAAGTAATGATCTTGGAAGAAGACACAAAGCTACTGGGAATAACATGGTAGCAGAAACCCACTACAATTTAACTTGCCAGCACACCTACACGATACTACAAGCATGAGAGAGGATGAATTGCTTTAAACTAAGACTGATGAGAAGGAAGTGACATTTCAGTATGATTCATCACTTACTGAATTTTATTGAGTGGTGGGCTGCTCATTCTGAAAGTCTTCAGCCTTGAGAAGAAAAAAATACTTGAAGAGAAACATTACAGTTTTCATATGAGTTCAATACAGCAAAATCATCCTAAATAACTGGAAACTGGACAGATTATTATGTTACCTGATGGCAACTTGTCATCATGAGTGCATATATAAGCACACTATTTGCATAAACACACTATTCACTTAACCGAGTGATGTGTCTATATAGATATGTACACACACAGATCAATAGGCAAATAAAGGATTTTCAAAATGTGCAGCCCAATCTGCATTGCATAAATTGTTATGAATTGTTCCAACTCTTCATTCTGTAATGTGAGATTTATGGAGCTCTAAATCCCATTTGTATTTTTATCTGAATCAGCCTGCTCATCCCTTGCTGCTCTGCCTTCCCAAATCAAATCCAGTCAGTTCTCCCTAGCTCTGTCTGAATGTTTCCTTTGATTGAGTGATGTTATTTCTAGAAAAAACACTCAAATCAATTTAATGCAAATTCCTTTTCACGTCCTGGTTGACCCATCAGGACATGCACAATAACAGATTGAAGTAGTTACTTCCTGAGGCAGATGACTCATTGAGTGCTTAGTAATCAATTTTCATCGTTGTGACTGCATAATCTGTCTTTGGGGTTCTGTTTCATATCGTGACTAGAATGCCACAGAACCCTGGACTGCCTGATACTGAAAATGAATGGTGAGCCATCAGCTGTTCAGCCATTTTACACTGCACAAACAACCACGACAGAGTTACATCTAATCCAAAAAGGGCCTGGCTCTTCTCACGCACACCAGTAAAGGCAGGAGTAAATCCAGGCAACCTGATGGTGATGTAGTAGTTGTAGAACAACACACAACAGCTGAGATCAGAATTTGGTCCTCTGGGGATATGCCAGCTTAACATTGTGAAATCAGAAGCAACTCACTGCATTCAACCTTTTTTCATCTTTGTAAGAAATCTGTTTCATTGCTCCTAAACTAAGAGGTGTGTAATTAAAGCAAAGTGAAGGAGATTTGATCTATTATAGAAAACGTCCAGATCCATTTATGAAAATTTTGGTGGGAGAATTGGGGATTTAATTCATCTAATTCAATATGTTATGCCTATACATAAGCTTACTCCACACACAGACCTGCATCCTAGCAGGGTTTCATAGCATCCAACATGCACCTCATACAGGACATTTCAAATAGTGATACTGCATTATAGTGACTGCATAGTTTATAATCATTCAGCAAGATCACCAGGAATGGGTGCTTCAGGAATGTGTTTCTAGCACAATGGCAGGAAGAAACTCCAAACTGTATCACCACAAGGTATCCTGCAAAAACATGTTCCTGCCACACACGATGCATGACTAACAAAGCTGAAGTCCAAGTTGCCACCTCAGTACAATAGGATGAATTCAGATTCTGATTCTTCTCGTGTTGTTACCACTGAGTTCAGGTTCCTTCATAATTAGATTGTGTAGGTAACAATCCAAACTAGGGCAAAGTGCAGATTTTATGTACTGTTTTAAGGTAAGAACTTTAGTTCTTAAGATTCATATCAGCTGGACAACTTGTTCAGTTTTGTTACATGCTCCTCATTCTCCTTGGTGCCTCTTTTTAAAGCAGCACTTAAAAGGTTTGATACTGTTCGACACTAGCTTTTTGACAGGGAAACTGTTCCCTCCAACCAATTTGTTTATGAGGAGTACCTAGCCTAGGAAGGAATTTGAGGGGCAAAATCCATAGTTTAGAGGCATAACATGCAGTGCAATACCAGCCAGCATTCTGCAAGAAATGTAGTAAAAAACAACCACAAAATCAGGGAAAGTTCTGAGTTTAACCTGGTCCACAAAGGTTGCTGCACAAAAAGTCTACACTTCACTAAGAATAAATCTGACTTGCTGCAGCAGCTTCTTCATGATCTTCAAGGCACAGGTATGCAAAAACTACCTTCTTATCAAAGAAAGTTTCATTAACATTTGAGAAAGGTTTCTGTCTAACCATGAAACTGATGGAGTGTTTAGTAGCTATATACATGTAAACAGGAAAAATATCTACTAAAGAAAAACTGTGAGGAAGTTTATTGTATGTTGTATTCTTCGTGTATGCTGTTCTTGTATTTCTTGTATGTTAGCAAACACGTGTTCAGACAAAAATGTTTTAAACTAAAGCAGTACAGGAATTGCAGTGTGGTCAAGAGTACACCAGCATTATTTTACTTTGCCAGTTCTCCCGTGTAGCCTAATTCTTATACCCTGAAAGCAACTGCAGCCTCTTCCACTTAGAGCTTTCATGTCTGGTTTTGGTTCCAGTTTAGATCTCACAGCAGTTGTAGTAGAAGAAATACTGTAACAGAAGTACCAGGATGCTCCTCAGAGTCCTGACAGCAATTGCCCTAAGTGTAGGATTTGATATCAAGCTATTCAGAATATCAGCAGCTGTTTGATAACTACGTACAGATTCACCATGGCTAAGAGCTAATCTCTTTAGCACTAACACACAATAAGATGGCTTGAGCCTGGACCCCAATCTCATTCACCATGATTCCTTAAGGAGCTTACCAACAATAACCTTCAGATTAGCTCTAGAAACAGAGAAAGGAGTTTTGGTAGAAGACCTTACTATAAATGGACAGTCATGAACTAACTGCTCCCTAAAGATGCTCCAAGGCCCTGCACCTCTGTTAACCAATGCTGCTTGTTCAATGTCTGTGTATATATCCCTCTCTAATATTGAAACACTTACAGATGTCATGAACCAGTCTGAGGTAATTTAAGTGTCCAAGTGAACATGTAGTAGCAGCATGATCACAGGAGTGAGCTCTGATATTTCACATGACATAACAGAATGCCTAGTAATTATCAACGAATTGGCTAAGACCAAAAGAGAAGTGCTCCTAAAGGAAAAGCACATACAGAGATTCTGGAAAGCAGAGCCACAGATATACTTAACAATAGCACCTGCCTTAGCTACAAGTACAGTTCCTTTTAATCATGGTTATTATCTCCACAGGTAGCTGCTCTTTTACCTTCTTGATTTTAACTATTATGCCACTAAACCATACTACAAAACAGGTAGGATTTTGTCAATTTAAGACAGGTGCTACAATAAAACAAAGTATAAATAAAAAGGACAAATACAGGCTGGTGGAGAATGGATTGAGAGCAGCCCTGAGGACAACAACTTGGGCCTGTTGGTCAATAGGCTCCTGCGATGGGAAGGGTCTGGACTCTCTGTTTTCTTTCTCTGTGTTAATACATGATCATTTAAAAGCAGCTTCCAACTTGGCAAGCCCCTCTCAAGGTTTTAGCCTTGAGCAGCACTTAAGTCCACAAGGAGCCCGCTCCTGTTAATTCTGCCAAGTCAGAGCACTTTTGAAGGGAGAACTTGCTTTTTTCTACTCAATTTGTGACCACATCTACCTGGTTTCCAGCAGCAGTGGAAAATATCAGCACCTTACTGCAGGATTTTAAGTAAAATATTCACAGGGTGTTCTGCATAATGTTGTCAGCTCAACATAGAGGTGATAATACGTAACTTCAAAGTGATAAAGCCAGCGCTGTAAAAGAACATTCAACTTCCTTTTTGAAACAACCTCACATATGAAATACAGAAAACCTGAAGGAAATGTTTAAGCCTTTAAGAAATCAGTCGATGTGATCTACCATTTCCTTTAGACTGAGCTACCCTAAAGATGTATAGCAAAAATTTCTAAAGAGTGTAACAAAATAGCCAGAACCTGTTTGGAAGTTCATTTTAAAGGCATTGATCAGTTACCTAGATAACACTAATACTAACCACCACCTAAGTAACTGTGGGTACACAGGATAGCTTGCCCATACCCACAAAAATTCTTGCTAAAAATATTTTATTCAATTTTTTTTGAAAGCTCAGCTCTTTGGTCTATAAAAATAGCATTACAAAAAATAGACAGAAATTAAGAAATAGTCCAAGTTTACTTATCCAACCCACAGGCTGAAACTTACCCGTCCAGACAAGCAAAGACATATTAAAAAACCGCACACGCACTATCAGAAAATGAAGAAAATTTACACAAATATTTGCAACTCAAAAAGTACATAATCCTTTATAACAAATGTTTCTTATCTCTACTTTTTAAGTATAATAACTTACCGTGGTTGATGAGAATAATCTCAGTTCTGCATTAATACAATTCACCTCTACAGTGACACATTAGTTAAAGTGCATGAAGCACAAAGTCCCATGAATGTAACCATAGTTGCAGTGAGTGGAATATAATTGACCTTTACATAGTTCAGATGCACAAAGGTTATGACACCTGCTACTTACAAAGTGTTCGTGGCTGCTCTTGGGAAACTGGGTTTCCTGTAGACACCTGGCTGATTATTCTGAATCTTCATATGTACACATACATCATGCTGAATATAATTTTTAGTACTTAGAGCGATTTTTCACAAGACTGCACATTAACTGATGTAATCAGGCATTGCAGATCTGTTTTAAACGTATTCACTTTCTGGTTCCCCTCTCCCTAGTCCCTTTGTACTTTGAAGAGGACACCTCCTCTGCTCCAGTCCAGGAGAGTGCATGTTCAATGAACATTCATGCACCAAGCACTGATGGCAAAGACAGAACCCTGACTATACAGAAGTGGAGACTTTACCTTCTGTGAGAGATTTCCATAGGCTCTGGCAGCTCACGTGCTTTCCAGCTTCGGTGCAGCTCACAGCAGCCTGCTGCAAATGTGAGTGACTCAGGCCTAGCAGTGGCTATGTGCTGGGTAGGGTGCTGGTTGCTTCCACCTTGGTTAGTGTGCACAATTGGTTTGAAATACTTAAGCAACTGATACAGGTGTGTTGTGTTTAGATATATTTTTAACAGGGCTTGTGAGATGACAATAACTCCTAGGCAACCACCAGTACACACAGACTGAGAATGTCCTCTTGAAACACCCCATCCAAAATTCGGAAAGGACAGGTATGGATTTTGCCTATTTTTTTCAAATATTCCAGAAAGAGCAGACAAGGTTCAGAGAATGCATTG